AACCTGAGAAGATGTTCACCTTCGCGCCGTTAAATGGGACATTAAACTGACGACGACACTATCGGATCTACTATAACGAGCGAAAACATGCGAACCAAGTCACACGGATCTTAATAATAGTCGAGCGATGTAATAAATTAACAACAACGTAATAATTATTGTCGCGTAATACTTGCGAAGCAGACATCGATGTGGACTGCGCTTGATGTCGAAAACGATTCAGGAGTGTTAACCTTTTGAGCCATAATGCGGGGCATTAGCGTCCCACCTATCTTTCTTTCATTTTTAGTGATTTTAACTAACTTATCGGCAAACATATATATCCATTATATTATTATTATATATACTCTCTCCCTTTTTCATAACTATAAAGAACTAAAGATAAGTGGAAACTAATTTGAATATTTAATTGTTAAATTAATATAAGTAAATAAAAATAAAACAAGAAAGCACTTTCTTCAGACAAAAATCATTTTAAGGCTATTAGGAATCAACACAGTTTACTGAGAACAATTAACAGTACTTTGCACATTTTTTGCAAAATTTTCTATGAACCCTATGTTTTACAGTAAATTATTGAAATATTGATAATATGTTTGCTACGAGTTAAAAACACACCTGTTAAAAACACAAATATCTCTTTTTTATCCCTAGAAATGTATGTAGTTTTCCTAGATACCCAACCACTATTATTGTTACTGTCTGGCATTACTGATTAATTATATCAAAATTGTGTAGGAAATGGACAAGAACTTGCAAGAGTCCATTTCAATTTAGAACAAAACTGCCCATTTCATGAGCAGTAAATTTGTTTATTAATCGATTTGACAATTTCGTTGCCTATTTGTTGTTTAGTTTTCGTTCGGTAAATGGTCTAGATTTTGCACATTTTTTGTGCGCAGTAACTGTACGGAAAGCGTTGTTATATCTTGATTGGGATCTGGACAGTTTTACTCATTAGTTACCAGACAGAAGTTAATATAACTGTTCAGCAATTGTTTAAAAGCTACATGAAATTTTTATCAGAGAATTTTTATGTAGGAAATGTCATTATTTCCGGATAAAAGTGAAATCGCAAATTTTGAAAACTTATTCGCCATTCCTAATTTTAACTCCTTAACTTCAAATTCGTAATTAGCGACCCCGAAATTCCCCATATGCCAAACTTGAGGAAACTTTACCGGAAAATAAAATGTAAGGCTCAAAGAGCTAAGTGCGGTTAACCTCTGTTTTTATGTTTTATTTGATACGTTGCAGCTCTAGTGCAGAGATTTCAGAGAGATTCATGTATATACATATTTAATTTATTTCGAACGTAACCTTTTTTCTGTTATGCACATATGGCAGATGCAAAAAAGTCGCGGTGGACCGCGCGCATCTACGGGAGGAGGGGTAAGGGGCAGGGAAGTGGGGAATCGTGTTACATAGTAAATATCGGCGGGAGAGGGAAGGGGATCATATCGCGCCCGTTCATACGACATTGCGCTGTGTATCGATCGCATCCTCTTCCTTTCCGCGCCGTTTCGGAGATTGCTTTATGCGGATTCGGTACGCGCGGTAATCACAGATGTTCGCGCGTATCACTGTCGGCGCGCCGCCATAACGGTCGTTTTTAATCGCGAGCTTAAACAGCAATGTAATTACGTGCGGAAGCGCAGTTTTCGCGCGCGATTAAAGGTAACCGCCGCATCGAACGATAATTGGATGCGATCAACATGATCGCGCCGCGCCGGAAAGTCACGGACGCCAAGCCACAATTGCGTGACATTGCTAGTGTGCTGACAGAAAGAAAGGCAATAACCTTTATTTACTCGCATGTTAATGGCCGGCCGAGATTATTTAGTCGTCGATCGCGCGCGCGGGCGGAATTGCTCGGGACAAGTCTCATTCGTCGTTAATGAATCGCTTTAAAATAACGCTCCGATCTCTCGAGAGAAATGAGTCGTGAGACGGAATTGAAATTACATCGCTCGGAGAAAAATTTACATTCCGCGCGACTTTGCCGTCCGCAAGTCGATTAAATTCTACATTAAATCTTGACTTTCCGTTCTGTGAGGGATTAAGCGTTGCGTGCCGGAAATTTTCACACGACCGTTCGACGCATTAGACGCTGAGGGAAGGGAAGGTGTTTACCGTGCGCAACGCCCACGCGAGCGTAATTTTCCAGCGAGGTTCCGCTCCTCTCCATATGCTAAAATGCGCGAAAAAAAAGACGGGAAAGTGAGAGGGAGCGACCAGGTTGCGCCAAGACGCCGGGAACGACGGAGTGTACATCACGGAGGAGTTGGATCGCGGCAGGATATTCCGTCGTGTGCCGTAATTACGCGGTATTACGAGCGGCATTACGTCGGGGATGTTACGTTAACGCGGGTTCGTGTTGTACGAGACGCGCGCGCACACGAATTAAGAAGACGGAATTAATGCGGAGCTGCAAATTCGCTCGCGCGACTGGCTTTACGACGACTATGGCACGGGCTGAAATATAAAGGCGTCTTCATGCGATCTGATGCGTGACCAAACTGACGAAGTTCTAAAAGGAAAAAAAACTAAGAAAATAATCGTCTTGTATAACCGATTTATCCGGCGACCAGACGAAAACTCGGTTGTAGGAACAGAGAAACTCCTGTAGAAGCTTTCTGTAGAAGAATTCGGTACATTGTTCTGAGTTATTTCAAACGAGTTTTAAAGCAGCCGAATGTTCAGAAGAATCTATCTGATAACGATATTGTACATCCTTTACGTTAAAATTGTATTTCTTCTTACAATATTGTTGTCGATCTATTCCTCGATTACAAAATACTATACACTGAGGGAAAAAAAGAAATAAAAAATATTTATTCGGCACTGATATAACATATATATACATATGTACTTACTTATACTATTATAAATATTTTCCTAAAAGAAAATGTAAATTTTCTTAAAATTTAGCTTCTACGAAAGCAATTGTTTTTTTATATTTCAATTTCTATTTAAATTCTATTTATAAATAAAAGAATTTATAAATTTAATTATAAGTATGCCTTTTTAGTACCTACCGAATGAATATTTTTTATTTTTTAGATATATTTTTTCTCACAGTATAATAATTTTTATTATAAAATTATCTTTTGTAAATATTGTATTATTATTCATTCTTCTATTCTTTTTAGTGATCAATTAAGTTATTATATCGTTTCTGAGTTATGAGTTTTCGTTCAGTTCCTGTTCAGCTACACAGAATAAGATTTTTTTTCAGTATGACGTCGCGACTTTGCACGGAAAATATTGAATGAAAAGTCACTGCGGTCTACGTCCATATGAAAAATTAAAACCTGATCCGCTTCAACTAGAAACTAATCGAGTTTGTACCTTGTATATGTCGAAGTTATTCTCAACTTCTCCGGCGAATTCTCGTTACAGATCGCGTAAAATAGGCTTAAAGAACACGGGGAAAGGAGAGTGTTCGTCGCCCGCTCGTCGGCTCCTCTAATGCCCGCATATTTCGCGACACGTCGTGCGGAGAGACAGCGACTCCGGAGTCGCGCAGCGCGTGATATTTCTCGCGCGCGACGTTTCATGCATACGGCATCGATGACGATTTTTCAACGCGACTTCTGCGGTGACGGACCGCCGTACTTGCTTTCCGCACATTTATTACCCGGACGGTGTGAGATCATTGAAACCTCCGGCAAATAAGGCAACGTAGAGATCTCAGAACCGAAGTTGACTCGGAAACGAAATTGATTATCACGGGACGATTTAAGTGCTACGTATACGATCAAATGATATTCTCTGTACTGTTCAAACGACAGTCTCTGTATTGTCCACATAATCAAATGTCGAATTATTTCAACAGATTTGAACATTGCACTAAAAACACTGAATATGTTAAAGAACGCGAGGAAAGAAACGCGCAATAGCCATCTCTCATATTTATGTTTTCAGTTTATATTTTCAGTTTACTACGTGCATCACATGCTACATTTATCGCGACAAAAATTTTTATTTATGTGCATAACGGTGGATGTACATTACATATCGCAAAAGTCTATGATGAGAACGCTTAACAAATGACCCTCGCAATGACCGAAATACGAAGGATGCAAACATAGCCTACATTATATGCTTATCTAGATTAAAAAGCGAAACGAAAATTTCACTTACGCGATGTCCGACCGGTCAAGGCCGACCTCGATTTTCATTGAAAGCGAAAGAGATGGCAGACGCGGCAAGAGCGCGGCGACCTTTCGCGGAGAAATTCCGAATAAGATCGCGGATCGTCGATTAAAAATGCTCGCTCATTCGAGTCGTATGGGCGAGCCAAAGCACTACTCTCGCGGTAAGAAATCGGCGAAGGACGAGCGAGCGAACGCGCGGAGGAGAAAGTCGTTGACGGAATAGCTGGGGGAACACGCTGGATGTCAGCTGACAGAAACGAAGGCCGCGAGCGGCGAAACACCAAGCGCTGATGAATCGCAATACATCACGACGAAAGTAACGGCCGTGCTCCGAAAAATGCGACATGACATCTGTCATATTTAGTCACCGCGTTCCTTCGCGTTCACCGCATTTAAAACGTCGCATGATCGGAATTACCTTGAACCTTAAGAGGAAGAAGTCTATTTTAGGATCACGTAAGGCAGCACATGCTAATAAGAATTTCAATAGCGATTAATAGTCTACGTTATATACACGATCGGAAAGTGTCTCTGGAATGTGGGTCAAGAGCCTGGCCGAGCACATGGCAGCGCTTTTAGCGTCTAAATTAATCACGGCGATAATAAACCGATATTAGACGCGGGCGAGAGGAGAATGACGGCCGAAGGAGGAAGAAAGAAAGAGAAGGAGAGAGGGAATAACATAGACAGCGAGAAAGATAATGGAATGAATCACTGCGAATAACAGAGCGAAGCGGCGTGTCATGAGCGGACAACGGCTAACGTCACGTCAAAGTTGACGTCCGGTGACCCCGATGGCTATCTCGACTTCACAGACACAAGTAAAATACAGGAACTTACCCGATGTGCAGCCGTAGCCAAGGATTTCCAAGAGGAACGATAACTTCGCCACAGGGGCAAGAATCACGTGGACGTCAACGAATCGACACGCGATGTTACGCGATAACACGACAATAACACGACGATAACACGGCGGCAGGCCTTCGACTATCTCTTAGCGGTGTCTGGCGACATATTCTTCTTCCGACACGACACGGCAGGCTGCTCTCTTGGCTGCTCCTCGGCGAGATGATCAGATATTCGCTGACATGTGCGTAGAGAGAACGAGAGACACGACGAGCCCGCACTCGCGATTATTACACGGCTAACCGGAGAGAGAAGTAACGAGGAAGAGACAGATGGAGAAAGACGCGGCCGAATTTCTTGCCCGACAGAAGCTACCCGATCGCGCGCGCTTCCCGTACCGCCGCCGAGTGTAACGCACCGAGCGTAGCACTGCGCGCACTGACTGCTCTCGCTCCGTTCACCAAGGCGATAAACAAACTCACCGTGTCTCCCTCTCGCCGCGACTCCCCGTCCACACTGGCGCTTGCGTCCTTCTCGCTCGCACGCGGGATCTCGCGTTCTCACCCGCGCTCCAACCCTTGCAACGCGCTCGCGATCCTCGTCGCACTGAGGCGCGCGCTGACTCGACTGTCCCACTCTGCGGCGCGCACGCGCCTCCTCTCCGTCGACCCCCTTCCCCTCCATAAGCGAACTTTACGTCACACTACTGCCAGCAAGGACGTCTCCCCCCACCAGCGCGAGTGTGACGCGCTTTAGAGTAGCTTATAATCACTAATGTTTTTTTCTCGTGACTTGCACTTGAAGGAGAAGTAACGAGTATTGTTCACCGCCTTTAAGAGATATAGATGCGACAAATATGCGGCTGAATAATGGCTGCATTCAGCGGAAAGAGCAGCTCAGTGAGTGCTCTTGAGTGATTATTGTCTATGACTGGAGTATTCTTTTAGATTTATCAGAACCAGAAGTATTTACCAATCAGGAACGATAATCATTAAGCGCTCCTTAAGCCGCTCTTCCCGCTGAGTGTAGCCAATGGTTGCGTTCAGCAGAAAAAGCTGCTTTGCAACTGTTGTAAAATTCGTGAATCTGATTGGTACATGCTCTTGGATTCAACTAAAATTAAGAGCATACTCCAATTAGATTCACGAATTTTACAACAGTTGCAAAGCAGCTTTCTCTGCTGAACGCAACCAATGTTTCATATGACAAGGCTTCGAAACTCGCACAGTCCGCATAGTACCCAAGCGTTCCTCATGGCGCCATCTCGTGGCTGTACTAAGTAATAAACCGCGAATTGAAGTAGCAGGTGTCGGTAAAACTGTATAAGAGCATAAATATGATAACGCAATAACTTTCGATTTTACCGACTGTCTGCATCAATTCCTCTATTCTTCTACCTCTGTCACACTTGCTGCTTACGTGTTAAAAAGAAACAGACAGATATAAATTTAATTCAAGTTCGCAAATGAAAGTCAGACACGCTCGGCAAATAAAAGTCGTAAGCTTATACTACCTGCGGCAAGATATCACTGATATTCATCCACAGGTCGAAAGTGTAATACGCAGCGATTTGAACTCCTAACTGCCATAACCAACAAATACGCGATACTTTGACCGGCATTCCCTAGCGTCCTGTTACGTCAGATGCTGTTCACGGCGGCTGTTTAACGATGTTCCTCACATACACATACGCGTGAGATTTACTTTCGGCACTCTCGACGATAATGTGGACGAGAGGCTCGCCTGAGGCGAGTTGAAATCGTGGCAAGCGCGGAGTTTATAATGGAAACTGAATTGTCGCGTCGCGATTGACTCGTTGACTAATCACATCATAGTGAAAGCGTCTGAAATTCGAACGGCATTTCACACAAAATCACCACTAGCCCGTCCCGCGAGCTATTCGCGATTTTTTAAAGTATCTTGCTTGAATATACAGAGAGAGAAAGAGAGAGAGAAAGAAAGAGAGAGAGAGAGAGAGAGAGAGAGAGAGAGAGAGAGAGAGAGAGAGAGAGACTTACTTTTAGTACTTTTTACGATACATACACTTGAACTTCCTTGTATTGCTTGAAAACATACAGTGAGCCTCCTAACCATCGTCGTAATCCATCAAGTGAACACGGCATTCCCGATCCATGAAATGTCCACTAAAGCTCATTCTACAATGGCAGTAAGCATTAAAAAGTAGGAAATAAGAATAAGAAATTGACCGATCATAATTGATTATTCTTTTTATATTTGACTGTGACTGACCAATTTCTTACTTCTTACTACTTACTATCATTGGAGAATGGGCTTTACGGCAATTATCTGACCATATTTTGCTGTGACAAACACACGAGACTTACTCACGGCACTCCCGACGATGACTCGGACGCGAGACTCACTGGGCGAAACGAAATTGTGGCAAACGCGGAGTAGTTTCTGGAATTTAAATTGTCGCGTCGCGATTGGCTTGATTATGGTGACAGTAGAGTTTTTCGGAAGCGGCACACTTCACACGAAACCGCTACTAGTCCGTCCCGCGATCTATTCACGCTTCGTGATTTTTCGACAGTATCTTACCTGAATACACGGCGAGAGATTTATTTTCGGTACTTCTGGCGATAACACTCGCGCCTAAAGTTCCTCGCGTGGCTCGAAAGCGCAAAAGTATATTGTGAGTCTTCTAATCGTCATAACCCAACAAGTAGACTCGGCATTCCACGAAATGTCCACTTACAGTGACTGTCTGACCATATTTTACCGCGACAAACGCGCAAGACTTACTTGCGGCACTCCCGACGATGACTCGGACGCGAGACTCACCCGAGCGAGCCAAAATCGCGGTAAATACGAGGCGGTTTGACGAATACAAATCACCGCGATCACTCCGCAACTGACTTCTCTCTCTTTCTCTCCATAGATGGCTCCAGGCGGCTAATAAGGTTTCTACTCCAACATCATTCAACGTTAGATGTATTATATTAATTTGACATTTACATCTCCGATTAATAGATGACCCTGAATGTTTCTTGGAAATAATTCTAAGTTATTTTCTAAAAAAATCACAGATTACATACAAATAGATTCGAACAAGTTTTTACGCTACGGCAATTAAGCCTTGTGTCCACAATGCTAGAAATTCCGAGATCTAGATCCGAGAAAAAAGCAACCAATTCATTTGCAGCTTTTACGAAAAGGCGACAGTTTTATTGGTTGTACGTTTCTCAGATAGAAATCTCGGACTGATTTCTAACATCGTGGACACAAGGCTTTAGACCGGAATTTGACCAACAACACGAAACGAAAAATCTCGAAGTATGACAAGTCAATACTTGAATCGATATTCGATAGTTCGTCTTTATTGGCAAATAATCGTGGATCTATGATTATTTGTGTCGATCTATATTAATTATTCTTATTTCGTTTACTAATCGGAAAAATGCACTTAATATTTTACAAAAAGGAATTTCTGGATTACACATAATAAGTGTACATATTCATGCATCATGACTGATTATTTCGACGGAACTACGTCCTCAAAAAATAACCAACACTTATGATACACGATTATTTAGACACATTGTGCGTAATTGAAAAATTTGTTTGGAACTAACTAAAGTTATGAAATTATAAGGCTATTTAGGCTATTTTATTTATATAAAATATTAAGGCCGGATTACAAAAGATATTGAATAAATAACGGTTCATAGGCAAATCTATAATAAATGGTGCTCTCAAGCACATTTATACATTACAAATAGTTTGTAACTATAAATAAAGAGAGAGAAAGATCTTAGAGTGTTAATCGTTGCAATAAATTAAAATTAATAATTTATATGTTAACTAATAATCATCGAGTAGAGAAATATTGAAATTGTGAGAGAGTAATTGAAACTCTTAGGCCCGTATTCTGAGTTCTCTTTTAACGATAAATGAGTCTCTAAAAGAGGCTTAGGAGCCACCTGATTGGCTGAGAAGCTACATTTAAGGCACTTTTATCGATAAAAGAGGATTCAGAATATAGGTCTTAGAGAGAGACAACCTCCAAATACGAAATAAACAATGCCATAGTGCCTCCAGCGTTGCGTTGAAACTACTTTGAACAATCATGCGGAATATTGCTTCGATCGTAAAAACATTTGTAAAAGTAAGATCTACGCATAGGAATCGAATAGGAATGACTGTATTCAGTGATAAAAGCAGCTCAGTCAGCGCTTATCCCCGTTTCTACTAACTTAACCGGCTGGTTATTTCAACGGAATTGACCAATGGTATTTGTTAATTCTAAACAAAAAGAAATGCGATTGGTCAGTTTCGTTGGAATAACCAACCAGTTAAGTTAATTAAAGTTGATAGAAACGGGCATTAGTAATTATTGTCTGTGATTGGAGCATTTTTTAAAATTCTTGATATCCAGAAGCATGTACCAATCAAGAGTGATAATTACTAAACACTCACTTACTTTGAGTTACTTTTTCCGCTGAATGCAGCCAATGGTCCAAGAAACATCTAATAACAATTTATAAAGTTAATACAACATTAAATGCTAATTACCAGGATTGGGTAGTAACTAGTTAAAAAGTTAAAAGTTAAGATAAAAAGTTAAAAAGTTAAATAGCTTTAACTTAACTTAGTTACATTTTTACACTCTTAACTTTTAACTTAACTTAGTTACATTTTATCGGTAATTATTAACTTTCAATTATCTTGAAGTTAACCATGCCATAAAAGTGTCACGAGACGTCGAAAGGTTGTTCAGTGCAGAGGGCTCATTTTCAACAATCTTCGAATATGTTTGTTCGAGTGATGCGCTACAAGAGCATACGCGCGACTATCATATTTAAATAAAATTTTATGCACAACTATTTGCAAAATGTGGCTGTGTAGCGACCTCGGTTCCGAAAAATGTCCGATAAAAATTTCAAAAAAACATTATTACTTAAATTTAATAAATATCTGTAAATAAAACATGTTTTCAAATAAAGTGTATATTTTTTTCCGTTATTTGTAAAACTGAAACCCTGAAGTCATGAAATAAAACAAATTTAACTTTTAAATTCTTAATTACTTTTTTTTATTAACTTAACTTTTAATTCAATTAATTTTATTATGGGTTAACTTTATCTTAACTAAGTTAAATTTTCAAAGCCATTAACTTTAACTTAACTTAGTTAAAAAAAAAGTTAACTTACCCAACCCTGCTAATCATTCATGTGCATTAGCGGGTCATACAACTGCAGCAAGAATTTTGACCCCTAATATCGGATGGTAAAGCAAACCTAGTTAGAAAGTGGCTCCACCACTCGTGTCAGTTGTATCAGCCACGACGCAACGGAGATTCTCTTTCATTTTATTCGTGACTTGTACGGAATATTAAGCAACATGGTACGTATATATCGAGATGTTCTCGAATTTTAATCCGTAAAAATCGTAATAATCCGTAATTATTGGTCGAAAATTAATCAGTGCTCGTCTCACGCGTGATTTATCTGGTGCGGGAGTGCGAATATTGATCGGCCACGAGTCGCCGTGATTATGATTTTAAGTTTAGGTTATGTTCGGGCTGCGATCACACAACAATTGTGCACGATACAATTTAAGCTCAGTTCCACAACCTCTAGTTAACTTCACTGACCGGTTATTCCATTGGACTTGATCGCATTTAGCGTTAAAAAGAGTTAATTAGAATTAACCAATCATTGTTGAGACTTAACCGATAGTTAAAATTAAATAGAGGTTGTGGAACTGGGTCCTTCACGTGCCATTGCGTGGTATTGTTGGCTGATATTATTTTTCCACCGTTTACAGAGTCGTGTCAGAACGAAGACAGTCAAAAAGGCTGCGAAGCTGATCATTGAGAAGTATTATCCACGTCTCACGTTGGATTTTCATACCAACAAGAGAATATGTGAGGAGATCGCTATTATTCCCAGCAAATCTCTGCGCAACAAGATTGCTGGGTAAGTTTTAACCCAATATTAAATAAATTACAACTTTAAACAGCTTATGTTATTGTTATTCTGCTATATGATCAGTGATTGTGTTTAACAGAGAGCTGCTTTGTACTCGTAAAATTTTTGAATCTGATTAGTATATGCTCTTGGATTCAGCAAAGATTAAAAGCATACACTAAAAGATTCACGAATTTTACAACAGTTATAAAGCAGCTCTCTCTACTGAATGCAGTTAATATTGAAGAAAGTTTACATGTGTTGTGAGCTATGAGAGTAACTGCAAATACTTAAGCCTAATCTACAATATGTTCTTTGCTTCCTGCTTCTTTCTCTTTATCTCTTTCTGATTCAAACCTTAAGCTTTAAGCTAGAAAAAGATAGAAGACAAGAAACAGAACGCAAAGAACATATTGTAGGTTAGGCTTTAAAGTTGTTTGCTAGTTTAAGTAGATTATATATTTATATGGATAAAATAATTGTTATTATATTTTTGTTAGATCTTATATCTTTGTTACATTTCTTTGTTAGATTTGTCACTCACCTGATGAAGAGGCTTAGGCACAGTCAGGTACGTGGTATCTCCATCAAGTTGCAGGAGGAAGAGAGGGAACGCAGAGACAACTATGTTCCTGAGGTCTCTGCCTTGGAGCACGATATCATTGAGGTTGATCCAGAAACCAAGGAAATGTTGAAGATGCTCGAGTTCAACAACATCACTGGACTCCAACTCACCCAACCTGTACCACAATTTAGCAGGCGTTCTTAAATAATTACTTTTTCATTCGATAAACATGGTTGGTTTTGCATTTTTCAATAAAATTGCAAACTAACGTACACAATTGTGCGTGTCGTATTGTACTTGCCGTCGTTCAACTCTTCGTGAACCTTGCTCATGGATAACCTCAAAAATGTATTCCGTGTTGAAAGCGGTCTCAAATGATTACGGATTCGATCAAGTTTTCGTAATTACCAGTAGCCGAGTGTAACCGGTGTTCAAAGTAGTATTGCGTCGAAGGAGACAATCGAAAAACGATACGATTCATAAAAGCGATGTAAGAGGAAAAAAAAAGAACAAAAGACGAGATGACGCGCATGCGCTCAGTTCACCATTTTAATCGTACTGGACGAAGCATGCGACGATTGTCACAACCCCAGTCCCAGTGCATTAGAACAGAAACGCTCCTGTGGGCTACATGAAATATAAACGGTAAAACTTTGTGATCTCGCGACTCTGCGTCACACACACGGACGCGGATAATTACGTTATTGTCGCGCACGTGGGAATAACGTCAAGAACGTCGTCGCAAATCGCATAATTTTCTCGTGTCTCGTTTTTGCTACGTCTGTCCTGTCCCTACTCGAAGAATATCGATTGCCTCTAGTTATGCGAGATATCGACGTTATCGTCGACGAGAGTATCGTAAGATATAAAGCTGAGGAACGCCATATTAACAATCATATTAGACGAGAGAGTGTTGAAGCGAGAACCTGGGTAGTTCAATGGTTTAGAGCAGTCGCTCGGCAAGCGAAAGACCCGGGTTTCAAGTCCCGGTCCGGCAAACTCCGGTTTCCGATATACTTTTCTCTCCGTCTCTTACATTAGCATACTGCGCGGCTGATGGGTCGATCAAAGCGTAATTTTCTCATGTCGCCGGGTCAGCGACAGTGAACCCCACGAGCTCCGCACAACCGTCGTCCTATACGCGTCAGTCTTAACGAGATCGATCAGCGAAAATTAGCGGCGGCATGTCGCAGAGTATAGATCCGCGTCTGCGGCGAAAAACGTCGCTGTGTCTGCACCCGCGGCATCGAGTCGGCCCGCGAGAGGCTGCGCGCCCCAAGGCTGGGGAAACCTAGCGCAACCTGGTGTCGTGCGCGGCAAGCCGCTCGGTCGGTGGAGAAAGCGAGAACGAAGCGGAGGAAGAAGAAAGGGCGCGACACGACTCGCTCGTGAGACAGAGAGAACGCGATAGATGAAGGAAGAAACGGCAGTTACGACGACGACGACGACGACGGCGACGACGACTTCGGGAGTGCGGCGGCGAGAGCAGCGCTTCAGGGCTGTTGGGGGACGGGAAGGGGAGCTTGCACGGCAAGTCTTGGAGTCAGTCGACTATTAGTGGTCTGTGACTCTGGAGGTGGGCCGACCACCGCAGAACCGAGCCGGACTGAGCTCGGTCGCGCTCGGCCGGCAGTCGGGGCCAGTCGGCCGCACCGCCGCTCTCTTCGGATCGTCGCGTCGTGCCGCGCCGCGCCGCGTCGCGTCGCGTCGCGTCGCGCCACTCGCTCGCTCGCTCGCTCTCGCTCTCACATCGCGTTCCTGCCTCTCAGTACGTTATACGCCGCGCAACGAGAACGGTCTTGCGTTTCCGCTTGTTTTATTTTTTTCGTTAAAGGCGTCGCGAGGCTACTCGACGTCGCGCTATGTGACGGGATATCGCGGGGCACCGCAGTGTGTACCCCGTCGCCTCTCTCCTCTGCGTGTATTGTTTCCTTTCGGGTCGGCTCTCCTGTCCTCGCCTCGCCGGCGCGTACCCCGGATCCCTCGCCCTTTACCGAGACCTACCCTATCTCCCCCTCTGCCTCCGCACCACTCTATCCCCGTGTCTCCCCTACCCATCTTGTCCTTCCCCTCTAGTCGACCCTCGTTCACCGTTCCGTCGTGGAAAGAGAGAAAGACGGATTACCTCGTGAACGCGCGTACACGACGACGAGGGGGCCACGAGGGCCCCGTGGAAAAGCGTGCTTGGCGAAAACATGGAGTGCCCGCACCTTGGTCAAAGTGTGCGACTCGGCGATGACGACGTAGACGCGAGTTGTGCTCTGAAGGATCACCCGTTCGTCTGCGCAGGTAAGGCTCGCACAAAGCGACGAGACTGCCTTCTACCGATTCTAAGCTCGCTCGGGACGGGAGAGAAGGAGAGCGAGGGATAGAGTTAGACGGATAGAGGGGAACCGACTCGTCTCTCTCCCGAGCGATCCTTTCTTTCCTACGTCGCGCCAACTCCGTTTTGCACGTTGTTCGTCTCTTCCCGGAGCCCAGGGTCTCTCCTCGCTCTCTTTCTTTCTCTTTTTCTCGTTCTCTCTCTCTCTCTCTCTCTCTCTCTCTCTCTCTCTCTCTCTCTCTTTCTCTCTCTCTCTCTCGGGTCTGTCTTCCGCTCCCTTTTACGCTCTTCTTCCTCTCGCAAATATACGAGCGTCATACACACATGCACACACGCGCGCGCGCACGCGTTCGTAGCAGCTCTTTCTCTTTCTCTCTCGCGCTTTTTCTCTGTACCCTTCCCCCTATCTCTTCCACACGCTCTCATACACGCTCCTTGCTACGTTCCGTCTCTCTCCATCCCGTGACCCAGGCCCCGGCCGTTCCTCTCGCGGCCTTGAGCCGTCGTAGCCGACGAGACGGAGCGGATCGTCGCTGCTGTTTCCTCCGGGAAACGCGCACTTCGCAAAAAGCGATGGACGTTGATCTACTACGTCCGTGCGCTTCCACGACGCCGCTATTATCGGTTGGCCGCGATGCTCCGTTTGACGTACGAACAACGAGCGAGTGACGTATCTTACGGATCGAACTCGTTGCGCGAGGATATGTGCATATATGTACATAACGCGCGCTCATACACACACAACACATTCTCTTTCTTTCTCTCTCTTTCTCTCTCTCTCTCTCTCTCTCTCTCTCTCTATCTCTATCTCTCTCACAGCGCATGTACGCGTGAGACGTATCGCGTCGTACGCCTTGCAAACGAGCGAGCGGTACAACACTGGGCTTCTAGATGTACACGACACGTCCGTGTACACGTTCATTCTCGCATGTTGTGTCGGGATCCCATGGCTCGCGGTTCCGCGTGCGCGAGAGAGTGCGACGGCGAGATTGGTGGTGGAGCAGTATAGAGATACGTGATGTGATGTTATGTGGTGTCGTGTCATGTGCGCGTGTGCGTCGTCCTGCTGGGAGTTCTCAGTATGCGGCGCGCGGCCGTCATTGGAAAATCAATACCAGACGGCACTAATCAGCTGGCCCAAGACCCGTCATTAGAACTTGCCGGCTATAACGGTCCACCACCGCTCTCTTTCGCAACTTGCCTGTTCGCGACAGTTTCTCGCTAGAATCCCACGTCCGCGAAAGGGTAGAGGGGAGAGACGAGTGAGTGAGTGAATGAATGAGAGAGAGAAAGAGAGAGGGGAAGGGAATAAAAGAGAGCGGCGTGCAGTAGGAAAATATAGAATCGTCCATGCAGAAACTTCGATGACGAACAATCGATGACGTTCTCTGGAGGGAGAAAAGGGAACCCTGATATCTGTGTGTGTGTGTGTGTGCACGCGCGCGCGCGCGCGCTCGGATATAGGACCTTCGTCCTTCGAGTCAGACAGTGACATTGGTCGTGCTCCGTTCCGAGGTATCGATTTAAAAATACGTGGACGCCAGTCAATTAGGGGCATGCTATAGAGACACAGAACTGTTGTCGTAAACATTAAAAGTTCGACCGATGCCCCTTCTCTCTCTTCGTGATCTTTTCGTGAACTTTTTTGTAGCTTCATTGGAAACGATTCGGTTCAGTCTTGACACTGACATCAACCGATGTCGACAATCGAGTTAAGGCGACGTTTATAACATTTTGCTGATCGGGTCAAAAAACACGTAATGTACCAAGTATTGCGAGCATCGCGGATTACAGATTGCGCGGGCGACGGATAAGTGTTATCGCCGACCACAGCGTGAGTTGTGTTAAAGTGCCGGCGTTTACGAGACAATGCACGACGCTGTGACCCGGAGGCGTGCAGGACGGGGGAGGAGAACGCGCGAGAGAGAGGGCAAGCCGACGACGATCGTTCGAGAGGAGAGGAGAGCCGCCCCTCGGAGGCCGTGAAATCGACAACGGCCACGACCGACGAGAGAGAGCTCGTTCTTCCTCGAATCCTGGTGCGATCCTCCGCGGCACCACATCGAGCTCCTTCCTTTCTCTTTGCGCGACCTCGGGACTATATTTATCCGAAACGTGCGCGTTTTTTCTCCCCTTGCGCGTCCACCGTCGACGTAGCCCCACCTTGCCCCTCTGAATCCCCTTGCCTGTTTCCCCCCCTTCTGCCCGCCTCTGCGCACGGCCTCCCCCTCCCCCGGCATGGCACGAACCCTCATAGATCGGCGCAATTGAAGTCGCAAAGTACAACTGCCCGGCTCCACCCGGCTTAGCTAATTCGTTCGGTGATTCGCGTTTTTCCGTGTGTCGGTGATGCCTTATGTAAGTCGATGCCATTATCGATTCCCGGTATCGTCGGTGACGAATGCTCTCGTGCCGGTGTGACACGCGTCGCGATTCGCTTCTTTTGCGCAAAGGATGCGTCGCGAAAGGCAGAAGCGTCTTTGTTTTCCTGAAAAGAGCGAAATTTCGCGTTTCGAACGCGAAAGTGTACCTCGCGGGAGAGATGATATAATTACGACAAACGGTGACTTGTGCGAATAAAAGCCGCGCTTTATCTTACATAAATGGCAATGACGTTAATTGATAAGTTTATTGATATTGGATTAATTAATTGATAGTTGGAGAGAGAGAGAGAGAGAGAGAGAGAGAGAGAGAGAGAGAGAGAGAGAGAGAGAG